TTCAACTCCTGGAGCAGGCGGCTCATCTTCCTCACGTCTGACTTCCCCACAGGCCCCAGCACAATACAAAGGGGGCCTTGACCGCCACGTGTTGACCTAAATCGCCAGCAAACCAAGGACACAGAGAGTTCATCTCTCCGCAGCACACACACTGAACAGTCCTTTCTTTGTTTCCTGAATGAGGTGGACACCTGATTCCATCTGGGGGTCTCCCACGCCTACCTGTATACCCCTTCTTCCTCGATCACTTTTCTGGCCCCTCTCCACACACATGGTGATGTGAGGAAGTACAGGTGGGTGAACCTTGGCAAAAATCCCGTCTCTACTACCCTAACATAGTTACACAGTCAGCAGCAGGGTACACAGATGCTCAGCCACTCTTCCTTAGCTCTGTCAGCAATTACATGTGGCCAGATACCCCAGAGAAAGCAAGCAGCAAATATTCTGGCATATGGGTTCTCATGTTGCTGGGCAAGCCCAGTCCCCAGGAAATTACAGAGGAGATTCCAAAAGATCCACAAATCCATATATATAGCAAACATCTCAAGGCAAATTGGTACATCTTGCCTATAAAGCTAAAACTATTTTTCCTAATGTATATTTTATTAACCACAATGGTGAATACAACATCAAAGTCATCTAAAAGCTTTTCTGAATTCATGAGAGCTTTGAGTCATTTGTTTTCCCAATAAACACATATAAAAATAATAACCAACTCTTTGGAAGGTTGTACTATGAATTACTGACTTTTAAAAATGTCCTTGATTTCAGAAAAAGTTGGAAACCACTCAGAGCAGGTAATAATGAAGTGGTGTAGCTTCCAAAGGAGTCTAAGGAATCCCAGAGACTGTTCAGAGATCGGCCAGGACCCGGTCCCTTCAGTTGTCCTGCCCCCACCTCAGTAACTAACAGTAGGAGCCATGTTCTTCCTCCTTGGGTGGATAAGAATGTACTAGAAAGACCAGGATAAAGGTGCTTGATGCCAAACCTGGTGACCTAAATTCAATCCCTGGGCCTAAATAGTGGAAAGAGAGAAACAACTTGTGCAGGCTGTGTGCTGACCTCCACAGGCGTGCTGTGGCGTGAGTGCCCACATACACAATAAATAACAGGAATTTTTTTTTATTAGAATGTAAGTTTTGAGAAATGGTTCAGTGGTTACTAGTATTTACTGAAGTGGCATTTCATTTGTATTTTGATAAATAAAGTTTACCAGCCGGCGATGGTGGCGCACGCCTTTAATCCCAGCACTCGGGAGGCAGAGGCAGGCGGATCTCTGTGAGTTCGAGACCAGCCTGGTCTACAAGAGCTAGTTCCAGGACAGGCTCCAAAGCCACAGAGAAACCCTGTCTCGGAAAACCAAAAATAAATAAATAAAGTTTACCTAAAGATCAGAGAGTAAAACAGTCCCACTGGTCAGCCTTATAGACCAGGCAATGTGACACACACCTTTAATCCCAGTAGCTATAGAAACTGGGTGGTGCAGGCCTTAAACCGAGCCCTAGAGAGGGTTATAAAATGGGAGGAGACAGCTTTCATTCACAGTCTCATTCTGAGAGTCTTAGGGGCAGGATCGCCATTTCAGACTGAGGTCGAGGTAAGAGGCAGTGGCTGGCTATTTTGCTTTTGTGACCTTCAGGTTGAACCCCAATATCTGACTCTGAGTTTTTATTAATCATACTACAATTTACTGCTCTTCCAGAAGGTCCAGGTTTGGTTCCCAGCCTCACTCACAGCCTTCTGTTCCTCCAGCTCTAGGGGATCTGACATACTGCTTGGCCTCCAGGGCACCAGGCATGTACATGGTGCACATACATACATGCAAGCACTCACAGATACACACATGTGAGCTAATGGTGCTTGCCACCCAAGCCTGATGATCTGAATTTGATCTGCAGGACCCATGGGAAAGTAGAAAGGAGAGGACCATTTATATGGAGTCATCCTCTGACCTCTACATGTGTGCTGTGGTTTGTGTGCACCTGCACAGATACACACACACTAATGATATATAAAATTTTAATTTAAAATAAGAAGCAGATTCTGCTAGATATTGTTTTTGACACCCCTGGGGGTGTCTTGGAGGAGAGCCTGACAAGATGGCACCCACCTACAATCCTAGCACTTGGGAGACTGGAGTGGGAAAACATCATGAGTTCGAGGCCAGCCTGGGCTACACAGCAAGAGTGTCCCAAACACACACAAACACACACATGGACACAGACACAGGAATGTGTTAGAAGAAACCAACGGGCACTGCTTATTACAAAAGCTGCTTAAAGCCAGACAGTGGCGGTACATGCCTTTAATCTCAGCCCTCAGAAGGCAGAGGCAGGTGGATCTCTGTGAGTTTGAGGCCAGCCTGGTCTACAGAGTGAGTTCCACACAGAGAAACCCTGTCTCGGGGCCAGGGGGAACTGCTAAGGGACTCAGGAGCAAACACAAGGAAAATAAGTAAGACAGGGAGGTGGAGAGAGACAGGAGAGGGGGTCGGGGAAGGGGGCTCTTGCCACACTTGTCAGTTTCAGGTGCAACCAGCATCGCCCACCCCACGACCACCCACTCCACAGTTCCTAAAACACACACGTACACGTTTTCAAGAACACATATGGCTTCAGTGCGAGCCTTCATTCTCTCACACACTTATCACATCTCTCCATTCATTTCCCAAGTCTTAATCAAACACCCACTAGCTGCCGAGTACTATATTAGATGCAGAGAACACAGACACATCCATCCTGCCCTTTCTCAGACAAAGCGCCTCTCTCTCAGCGGATCACACAGAGATACCAACACACCATATTCACCCGGGACCCCTGCCTCTGCCAGCTGTCACACACAGTGGGTCGGGTGCACACAGCCACCTCTCCCTGCTCAGCTGACCCAAACCTTTGTTTGACTATAGCACACCCACTCAATAAAAGACCTCTGTCCCACACAAGAACACATCTGAGACCTCACACAGTCCACTTTCAGGAGCATACACTTAGGTCCCAGGAGGCCAGAGACTGGATTGATCAAGATCCCTCTGAATTCAGTTCTCATATACCTAGGCTTAATTCTACCACAGTGGGACCATATAGCAGGCACTATAACCTCTCCATAGCTCAAAGGTCCCCTCCCTTAAACTAGAAAAATAGTCCATCCGGTTCCCTTAGGAAGGCTGGCGGGGTGCAGGAAGGGGTCAGTCATAGGAACTGGAGAACAAAGTTAAGGTTCTGGAAATTTCTCATAAGTTCCAAATGTCTTATTGAGGTCTCTCAGTGAAACACACACACACACACACATACGGGAACCCGCACGTGGGCACAAACCCTCCCAGCTGTGTTCCAGTCACTCTGCTAGGCACTGGTCTCCGATCAGTAAGAACAACGCAACAGACCCATTCACACATATGCACCCAAAACACACTGGCAGACTGCAGGCCTGCACACAGTTTCACAGTTTAGGGAGCGCCTGAGCTCCTTGGAGAAAAGGCGAGAAGGTGTCATGTTAATACACTCAGTTCCTAAAGAGGTATCCCAGAACAGTCCGACAAAACAATCCAAAACCCTTCCTTAGGTTTTCTGTTTGCTTGCTTTCTTGTTTTGTTTTGAGACAGAGTCTCAGGTAGTTCAGGCTGTCATCAGACTCACTATGGAGCTGACCTTAAGCTCCTGGTCTTCCTGCCTCCACTTCTCAAATGCTGGGATTCTGCCTGTTCATCCTCACACCTGGCTCCTTCCTAGTCGTCTACCATAGCTACAAATACACAATCGAAACGCTGAAGAAGATCTCCCATACGCAGGGCTATGCCTGCAGACTTGGCTCCTCTGGAGGCTGACCACACGCACACAGCTTTGGGGACACCATCCCCAGAGCCACACTAGTTCATAGACACACGCACCCTCAAAGACTCCACCTCCTTGAATATGCATATGCATGCACACACACACACAAATTTCAAAGCAGCCCCCAAGCAAGTAGAGACAAAAACAAAAACTACTGAACACACCTGCTGGGCAATGAGCTGCCACCCCCAAATCGATGGAGAAAAATCTTTCCTCTGACCATTCAGTCACATTAAAACAAACGCACTCCTTCCTCCTTCCCTCTAAAGCACAGCCTAGCTGCCCTAGATCCAACAGCCTTTCTTTCTCCTGTCAATGAGCTCGGCCAGACACATCTCTCTTACAAACTGGGGTGCTGGCAGAGTGCCCATCATCTTCCTTCCAAGGCCCATTCCAAATTCTGTCTCACCTCCTAGCCTTATCTAGCCTAATAATCTCCATCCCAACCCCAAGCTGGAAAGGGCTTCCGTGTAGGAAACACAAGTCTCGCCAACCAACCAGTCTCGCACCTGGGAGAGACTGCCTGCCATCCTGGCCCAACTCCAAAAAGGTCAACTTTTAGTCAGGAACCTCTTTCACAACCCTGGAGATCCTGTGACGACAGAAAAGATACACTATTCCCGTCCTCCTGGCCTCTTAGGTCACAGCATCGCTGTCCCATCTCCCTTTCCGCCCTCTGGTGTAGGTCTTCATGCGGATTTCCGTCCGGGTCTCACAGATCAGTCCTTCTCATAAGACAGTGGCTATCGCCAGCAAACTCCAGCCTCTCAGAGGCCCTGCCCACTCTCTTCCACTGCACGCCAAAGGTGGGCCACCAACCCCGCCTAAAACCACACAAGGTCCCGCCGGGGTTATAGGTCCCCACCTGGTGTCTCACAGGCCCTCCTACGTGCACGGCCTGCGCAGGCCCCACCCACAAGACCTCACCATCCATTCACACGCCCCGGGTCACCAGCACACACTGGACCTCAAGCACAAGTCTCTGGAGCGCTCACCCTGGCCACGCCCCGGACCACGCCCAAACCACCCTAGAACTGCACCGGCCCTCGCGCACTTGCGCCGGCTCCGTAGGACCTAATACGGGCGCTCTTCCTCGGTTTCCCGCCCCAACACGGCCAGGAGGCCCCCGGCCCGCCCATCCCTCCATCTCGCTCCGGCGCTGGGACTCACCTTCACTGCAGAACTTGCCGCCGAAGCCGGTATGGCTGCAGTCGCAGCCCACCTCGCCGGGGGCTAGCACGGTACAGAGGCCACCGTTGGCGCAGGGATTGCGCGCAGGAGCGCACAGGGGGTCGGCAGCCGCGCCGCGCAGACCCTGGCTGCCCAGCAGAGCCGGTGGCCGCTCGCCCAGCTTTAGGTTGGCCAGGAGGCCGCGGAAAGGTGGCTCGTACTTGACGGTGCTGAGCGTGAGCGCAGATAGGCGCACGTCGGGTGGGATACCACCCACGAACAGGTCGCTGGCCACCTGCATCTCACGCCGCTTGGAGCGCACCTCGGCGGCGCGGGCCTCGCCGTCCACCGCCAGCGCCGTACGCCGCGCGTCGCGGGTCAGCAGCACCATGTGCCAGCGGTCGTCGGCCACCGGCGTGTCCAGCTGCAGCGTGGCGGGCTCGGCGCAAGACAGCGTGAAGCGCAGCCGCAGGCGCCCGTCCACTAGCAATAGCTCCAGGAAGTCGCAGTCGCCGCCGTCGTCCAGGTAAAGAAGCAACGCGCGCGTGGCGTTAGTGCGCAGGCTGAAGCTGAGCTCGCCGCTGCTCGCCGCGCCCGCCCAGCGCGCGTAACGAGCCCACTGCCCGGGGCCGCCGCCGAACTCCAAACCACGGACGCCCGTCGCCAGCGCCAGCAGCAGCAGCAGCAGCGACAGCTGGGGTGGCGGTCGCCACCGACTCCCGAGCGCCATGCCTCCGGCGGCCCCGACGCCGCCCGGCCCCCGGCCCCGCTCAGGCTTCAGAGCCGCGGGCGCATGGGGCGGGGAGGGGGCCGGGCGCCCCTCGCGCGGAGCGGGGCTCCCTCGCCGACTCACAGTGCCATGGACCCAGCCGCCAGGGCTCAAGTACCCAAGTCCCCGGAAGGCAGCGGCGGCGGCGGTGGTGGTGGAGCCCCTCCCCCGCGGCGGGCTCGGATGGAAGGTGGGGGAGGGACGCCTGCGGGAAAACAGAGAGGAAAGGTTTACTCGAGGGTTCAGAGTCAAGGGGTGCCGTTGGTGTCTGGCTCCCCACCTCAAACTAGCGGGTGACCACCTGTTTCCTTTTAGCACCTTTCCGTTTGTTTTTGGAAACCATCTCATCTAGCCCTGGCTGTCCCCCCACCCCCACCCCAACTCCTTATGTAGCAGAAAATGACCTGGAATTCCTGAGATCTTCCCGCCTCCGCCTCCTCTCTCAAGTGCTGGGATTATTACTACAGGTCTGATCCAGCATGGCCAGCCCCCTTGAGGTGTTCAGCTGGCCTTGACCTGCAGAGGTTCTCCAAAGCAAGAGATACTATAGCACTTGAAGGTTCTGAGGGGCCACCAGTTGGACTGAGTGCTCACTGTGGGCATTATTGGTTTGAGGTGTGGACCGGTGAAGAAGTGACACCATTGAGTCTATATGAAATCCAGTGGAGCAGCCCTAATTCTAACCCTCTAAGGGTCAGGACCAAGGCTAGTTCCCGGACGGGGTGGGGCTTAGGCGCTGTACTCCAGAAGTTAACCCCTGCCACTTACTTCTCTGAGCCGCCTAACCTCTGGGCCTGGCTCCCACTTTCAGCCAGGGATAAGTCTCTCTCATCAGCTCTTGATGTTGGATAATGAAGTTGCTAAATAATTCATTGGGATTAATTAAATGCCAATTCGTCAATGGTACCACAGGGTTACCAGACTGGGAAGGGGCAAGGGAGAGAAGCCAGCCAAGACCCAGGTATCCTCAACCCAAGCCCTACCCATCCATCTGTGAGCATAGACATCCACTTCTGTGCCTCTGTTTCCCCCTAAACCACACCAAGACCTTTACAGACTCCCAACCTTACTTGGTGGCCCATTGTCAAACGTTAAGTTTCCACTTGCCCAGGTCGTCTTGAATAAGGATGAACCACCCTCAACCTCTCTCCAGGTCCACATCCTCAGCCTCAGGATTGGTCCCAGTACCTGGGGTTCTCTTCAACAGTCAGCTCGTCCAGGCCCCCCACCCAAGGCTGGGGGGAGCTACCGGGAGGCAGGCAGGCTCATTTGCATAAAATTGCCTTTCTGAAATGATTACCCTTGTAACGGGCTGTCAGAGAGCAATTTATACCCCACGACAGGGAGGGGAATTTGCATCTCGTTAAACTCCAAGTCGTAATTATTTATATCCAACAACCCTCCTGAATATTGCATTGATTTTATTTTGGGGAGGGAGGGTGGGAAGGAGGGAGAGAAAGAGGTGATGAGAAGCCTGGGAAAGAAGCAGGGAGGGGCCAGAGTTTCAGAGGAGCTGGGGACAGGTGGAGAGGAGAAAGAGGAAGCAGAGGAGCCCGTGAACAGTGGTGGAAATAGAAGACTAATGGAGGAGAGGGGGCTGGTGGGAAGAAGAAAAGAAATAGAAGGCTGAGAAAATCAAATTCCAAATTCAAATGGCATTTCTCACAGCCCAGGATCCAGGGCATTTTTACAAATGTTGTTTTACTTAATCAGTCAAAGAGTTCCATTATTCCTATTCACCCCTGGGGAGACCCCTACAGAGGAGCCTAGAGACTTGGCCAAGGTCACCCAGACAGCCAACAGCGTGCTAGGCTTCAAATCCAAGCCCGTCCAACTCCAGCATGCCCACGATAGAGGCAAAGAGCATGACAGCCACAGGCCAACTCCCAAACGGGAGAAGAGTGACTTGGGGGCCGGAGTGGGGTGGGAAGTAGAGAGCTACAGGGGAGAAAGCTGAGACAGGAAGAAGCAGGTAGGGCTGCACTAAGGAGCCACAGTGCCCAGAGTGACAGGAGGCAGGGAGGCTAGGGTGCCCCATGTCCAGAAGACAGACGGCAGAGCGGCTCTGAAAGCCCAGCAGTGGCTAGGGAAACATCTGGATACGGTTGTATAGTCAGTGCCCCTCTTCCACTCTCCCCCTGCTTCTGGCTGCTGCCTACCATGGTGGGTGGTGGAGGAGACCAAAGTGTCCTGCCCCAGCACCCCCCAAGGGTTGTCCCTTCCCAGTCAGGAGAATATGGCCAGACCTACAGCCCCCATTTTCCTGCAAACACTGCCAGTTATATATAGCGTGCCACTGCTTCTCCTCATTGGGTAATGGAGATAATTAGCATGCGCGGGCTAATTAGCCAATCAAATTAAATGCAGCACCTGCTCCCGGCCTGATTGACGCCCTCAACCCCCCCCCACACACACACACACATGCACCCCCAGCCCAGGGCAGGGGCAAGAGACCCTGAAGCTAGAAAATCAAAAAAGTCAAAGCTCCCCTTCTCCAAAAGGGGCAGACAGAGACCCCCAGCAGAAGCCCAGCCCTGGTGGCCAAAAGATTGACCACCCCTCTCCCTCCCCTCCCCCGTCCTCCTCCAGGGTCTCAGTCACTCAGTCTCAGTCTGGCCCCGCCTTGCTTCCGTCTGCCTCTTTCCTAGCCCCCACCCCCACCTCCAGACACTATTTTGGGGAGAGAATTAATTAGCTATTGATTTCCACTGGTGGAGGGAATGAGACTGTGTGTTGCTGTCCACTTACAGACCCCCAGCTTGGGGGAGGGGTGCCTTTCCTCTGCCCCACCCCCTCCCCATCCCCTGTCATGCTCACAACCCTGAGTCCCAGTCCTCTAGGGAAGTAGCAAAGGAAGAAGCCTAAGGAAGGTATCTGTTCTGTCTGTCCAGTCAAGAAGTTGAAGGACAGATGGATAGGGTAAGGGGCAGGGGAGATTCCAGAGGCTCCCAGGCAGAGGCCTGGGTCCTGAGATCCAGAGACAGATTATCTGATTAGGGATGGGGTACAGAGTTGCTGAGAGTTCAATAAGGGGTGGCTCCAGTTAGCCTGAGAGTAGAGGGAGAATAGAGAACAGCCAGGTGCTGTCTGTAGGCAGCTGTTGTGGGCAGAGGCTGGGTTTGTGCAGGGCCTCTAGGGAGGGTGAGGACAGGGTCTGCCTTATAGACCCTAGATGCTCATTGCTCATTCTCCTCAGAGCTGTGTAGTAGAGACCTCCTGACTCTGCACCAGGGTCAGCCAAAGGGAAGCCCAGCCCTCCTGGTGTCCCCTCTCTGGGGACCCTGGGTCCCTTGGCGTAGCTTCAGGCTTGCGAAGAGGCAGAAACAGCCCCAAGGGTGTTAAACAGACACCTGGGTCCTTTCCACTCCACCTCATCCCACAGTGCCTAGGACACCTGCGGCTTTGCTACTCCCTGCAGCCTCTCTTTCCAAAGGACCTGGCTTCTGCTGGCTTCCCCCTCCAAACATCTCTGTTCCTAGTGTACAGGGGCTCCTGGCTGTGACTGTCTTCCTCAGGCCTCGGCAGAAACCCAGGCTCCAGAAATCGGCTCCATTGCCTTATACAACTACATCCAGGTAAAGGTTTTAATGGAGACGTGCAAGGCAAGACCCCTCTCCTGGGCTTTGTACCCACAGTATCCAGGCACTGCCCTCCAAGACTCTTTTCTCCAATGCAGGGACAGTGGCTGAAGTAGCCCCTAGGCTCCTGCCTACTTCTGGATGTCAGCACAGTGCATCCTGCCAGTTCCTTCTGGCCATAGGCCACTGCTCCTCTGGGGAGCTGACCTTTCCCATGGCATCACAAGATTCAGCACCCCCTACCCACAGACGGACTCAGTCAGTGTGGTGTGATGCAGGCAGAGCTGGAGTGGGGTGAGTCGGGCGTCCTTGGGTCCTCTGTCTACTCTCTCCTAATGACAACATTCCCTGGTCTTCGTGGGCCACAGAACCTCTCCATCTTCTCACAGTCAGGCCTGTGCCACAGTGGCATGTGATCGCAATGGCTGGGCTCCCCACTCTGTAAGGTTCTAGGCTGGACCCTTGAGGTACCACCTATGCCTCTCGCTGACCCTAAGGAGCAGTGTCGTCACCCATGCTCATGAACAAGACAATGAATGGGAAGGAAGAATCTCTGGCACAGAGGTAAAGAGTCTACTGGTCCCAAATTCAATGACATCCTTCAATCTTGCATTGCCCACAGGCCACCAGGCGGTGTCTGAGGCCCCAAGCCCATCAGCCTTTATTCTGGCCTTCACAGTGGACAGACTCCAAACCCACCTCAAGACTAAACCATTTGTGGGATTCTTCCCATCTTTTCCCTAAACTGAGTTGTAAAGAGGAGCAGAGACTGTGCCGGAAAGATGGCTCAGCAGTCAAGAGAGAAGCACTGGTGCTGACCAGACTAGAGCAGAGTTCGAGAGCCTCTTCTCCTAAATGCCCCCCACTGGACCTGTCCATCCTGACCAGCTGGACTTTCCTGCCTGGGTTCCATACTTCCCAGAACAGTCTGAGCAACACGGATGCCAATTCCATGTCCATCCTGCCAGCAGCCTTCTCCCAGGATCCATTCAGCTGGCTCTCTGACCAGTCCCCACATACATGCACAAACATGCACACACACACACACACACACACACACACACACACACACCTCCAGCCTTGAGAATGCCAGCCTCTCTCTGGCTCTCCTCTCCTCATGCCAGCTGGGAATGAGACAGCAGGGGCCTCCCCCAGGTGCCAGGGAGGAAGATCTGGGTTTACACACATTCTGGTGGCCCCAGAAGGCAGCCCGTGGACAGGTGGGAGAAGTGCGTGTTTTGAGGAGGGAGAATTTGGATCAAGCCCTAAAGAAATCTGCCTGCAGTCCAAGCCACGCAACAGTGGAGTAGGCTGCCTCGGAGGGGGCAGGGAGTGAGTTCCCTGTCTGTGGAGGTGTACAAGCTGAGGACATATGACTGCTATTCAGAGACACTGGGCGTAGGAAGCGGGTGGCTCTTGAGTCATAACAAGAGGACATCAGACTGTGTGGCCCAAGGTACCCTTGGGGTCATGATGGTTTCTAAGGACAAGATTTCCCCACTAAAGCCCCGGGCAGAACTGACAGGCTGGACAGGCTACAAACAGTCCCTGACCCTCTTCCTACTTTCCTTTCTAGTCCTGATGACCTAGTGAAGACAAGGGAGGACCCAGACAGACACATCCAAGCCATGGCCAAAAAGCAGGCCGGGGTATGCATGGCTAGCGCTCAGGAGCCTAGCTTCCAGTGCCAGTATTCCTCTATCAACCTGTGTGACCTTTGGCGAGTCACTTAACCTCTTTGGGCTCCCATTCTCTTCAGAATACGTGACTACAGCAGAGTTCACTCGCCTCTTCTCTAAATACTCCCGCTGGACCCGCAGAGCCTAACCAGCTGGACTCTCCTGCCTGGGTTCCATAATTCCTAGGAACAGTCTGAGCAACAAAAGAGGCCAATTCCATGTGTTGGAGATCTTGTCAGCGTCAGAACATGTGTAAGAGTGCGGCCTCGCTGAGGCTTCTGCAGTGTGGGAAAGTGTGCTGTGCTAGTGATTCTTTCTAGAACCTCTTGGCCCTCTACAGCTTCAGTGCTGCATGGATCCGGCATTTACTTTAATCCTTGCCAGGGCCTTACGAGAACTCCCTTGACAAGGGGATAAGCAAAGTAGATCTTAGTGAGGTTCCCTTTTACAAGACATGGGGCCACACAGGGTGACAACACCCCTAAGTGACAGAGTTGGGACGCTCTCCAGTTTGATTCTCTCTCAACTCTGGGTCCTTCTCCATTCTTCTAAGTAGCTGTCTTGCCTAGGAAAGTGGGAGAAAGGATAAAGAGACCTGAGGACAGGGAACATGGATGCCAGTACTTGGTGTGTTCGTATGTCCCCTAAGGTGGTCTCCATGTGCCTGGAGAAAAAAACAGCAAGAGCCAGAGGACAAGAGTGGCAGCTGGGGGGCTGGAGAGATGGCTCAGTGGTTAAGAGCATTGCCTGCTCCTCCAAAGGTCCTGAGTTCAATTCCCAGCAACCACATGGTGGCTCACAACCATCTGTAAGGAGGTCTGGTACCCTCTTCTGGCCATCAGGCATACAGACAGAATATTGTATACATAATAAATAAATAAATATTTAAAAAAAAAAACAGTGGCAGCTGGAGGTGTGTGTGTGAGGAGGCTTCTGCCAAGTGGGTGGGGCTGTGGTAAAGGAAGGGCTGGGAACCGAGACGCGATGGGATGACTTGATAGGATGGGGGGCTGAAACACAAGCATTCGGAACCTTGGGGGTGTGGGGGGAGGGGTGGACACAGAGACCATCCCTGTGCCATGCACGGCTGGGGCACACAGACCTGGGAGGGTGCAACTCAGTGATGCAGAGGGGGCAGATGGTTTCCAGGGGCGGCCTCATGCGTACGCCTGAAGTGGCTGGAATGCTCTCGGAGGTGTCTGACAGGTGTGTGCGCATGTGTAGGGAAGGATATAATAACGACAGAAAGAAATACCTGCTGCTGGGCCAACGAGATGGCTCATCGGGTAAGGGTGCTGTTGCCAAACCTGACTATCCAAGCTCAATCCTCAGTGTCTACATAGTGGGAGGAGAAAACCAACTCCCACAAGCTGTGCTCTGACCCCGGCATATGCACCATGATGCACATAACACACAAAATGAATAAATATCAAAAATATTTAAACACGGCTGGGTGGTGGTGGCGCACGCCTTTAATCCCAGCACTCGGAGGACAGAGGGAGGTGGATCTCTGTAAGTTCGAGGCCAGCCCTGGTCTACAAGAGCTAGTTCCAGGACATGCTCCAAAGCTACAGAGAAACCCTGTCTTGAAAAAAAAATATTTAAACACCTATAAAAATACTAAACAGCTGGCTGGGAGCTTTCCATGTGCCTGACAAATACGCCAGATGAAAAGGTTCAAAGCACACAGTAGGTGCACACTAAATAACGTTGTTGCTGCTATGATTATAACCATCATAATCCTCTCATCCAATCCCTGGGTCATCCCCCTGACATCAGTATGGAAACACCCATTTTACAGATAAGGAAACTGAGGGTCAATGGTAGACACGGCACAGTCCATGCTGCCTTACCCTCATCCACCCATGTTGAATGGTGGCAGGAGCAGGAAACAGCTTTGAAAATGACAGTAAGGTGTGCATTACTGAATGAATCCCAGCAAGTCCACAGGCCTGTCGGTACAAAAGAGGCTGGGACAGAACTGCACCAACAGATGGAGCCACAAGGGGTGGGTGGTGTGTGAGGACACACTTCTGGGAGTCCCCATGGGGGCTGAACAGGAGCTGGAATTGAAGGGGTGGACACTGTGTCAGGCAGGCAGAGGGCCGTGTGGGGGATACAAATGCCGGGGCAGAACTCAAGGTTCTGCAGAAGGCCAGGTGTGGCTGAGGGCGAAACTGGCCTGGAGTGACTGTGGTCGTGATCAGTTGGAGTAGACCTAGGGTTTAAGAGCTTTCTGAAATTACGAAGAGAAGAGAGTGACAAGAATTGGGTGAGAGTTATAGACAGGGTGCAGGTCAAGGCATAAAGGATGAAATCGTACAGCCTGTGCGCTGATGAGCACACATACAGACTTGGTGCAAAATGCTTAAGACTCAGACTAGCAGGCCGTGTATGTGATGTGGCAGGCAGAGGCTGATGTGTCTGGAAGGTGTGCAGGCGTGGGCGTGTGTACCCAGAAGAGAAGGCAGGCCATGAGGCAAGAGGACTTGAGACGTCTGTGAGCCTGAGTAAATGAACAGTGATAGAAGTTGTGTGTCTCTGAGAGTAAGGGCTGCCAGTGCTTTGTCAGGGGACCTGGGAGCATTTAGGGGCTCTGTGTGTGTGTGTCATGTGCTGAAGCAGGGCTCCTTGAGGAGGTCTCTGAGGCAGGCAGGAGGTGGCAGTCTCTCTGGGCGGGGAACTGTGGGTGAAGTGCTGCTGGGGAGTTGTATTGTATACGCAGGTGTGAGTGTCTGTGTAGGTGTATGTCTGGGTGGGTGCCAACAAGCAAGTGGATCTGTGTCAGGATGTCTGTGTCACTGGCAAGGGTGGACAGAACAGAAGAGCTGAGCTTGAGAGACATGGAGGTCCCGATGGCTATCCCAGTGCCCAGCCCCTTCATTTCAGGAGCTGCTGTCATGTGGATTGAGCCCAGGCCATGAAGCAACTCCCCAGCAGCCACAGCCAGCTGATCAGTCCCGCCCACCCCTGTGCGGCTGAGAATGGAATGTGTCTGAGCACACTTCCACCCGACCCTTCTCCCTGGTGACCCCAGCTCTGATGTCTCTATCCCTGAGCCATCCCAGGTTGGGGTTGGGAGCTGGGGATCCAAGTAGCTGGAACACCCACAAAGCAGAAGGCCCTACATGTAGTTAACTGACTAGCTGATTGCCCCCCTCTCTTTTTTTTTCCCTGCTCTCTTCTCTCTTTTTCTTTTTCTAGCAAAAGACAGAGGATGTAAAACCCTCCCCCAGAAGGAACGCCCAGACACTGGGAAGGTGGACAAGAGGGAGGGGCAGGAATGACTGGAAGGTCCTTGCCTACCCCACCCACCCACAATATGTGCAAAAATGAGGGTGCATGAAAGCCGGAAGTAGTCAAGGGGGTTGGAGACCCAAGACCCACCCCCTCAGATTTACTTGAGCCTTATAGAGCAGAGCAGGATCCCTTTCACTAGGAAGCACCAAGAAACAGCCCCTCCCAGCTCTGCCGGTTCACTAAGGCCCTAGATGCCTCTAGGAGGACTAAAGAGGGGGCGACAGCAACGGCAACGGTAACAGCCCTACAGCCCTGCAAAGCCAATTTTACCTCCAGAGCCCACCCAGAGTCCTTGGACTCATACTCCATTGCAAAGAACCTAGGGCAGACTGCTCCTTCCTCTGGGGAAGAAGGCTGGGACAAGAGAAATAGTCCCCACCTCTTTGGGGTGGGGGAGTAAGCCCAGGACCCAGCAGCTTTCTCTCCCCCTCCAGCACTCTGTGACCAGAACCCTACCGCTTGCCCCCAAGTACATCCTTACCCAAGTAGAGCCCCCTACTACTGGCTTCCCTCTCTGTCACCCCCAGCCTTCCCCAGCAAGCCTCTCTCCTCTCCCTCAGGCCCCCCATCTTGTCCAGCTCTTCCCCCATCATAGACTCATCTATGCCTAGAGCATCTTGGCATCTTCCCCTCTGCTCCCTCCTGATAACCTCCTCTCCCCTTGGCTCCCATCCCCCAGTAGAGCCTTTTCTTCAGTGATTACCCCCAGACCTCCCTCTCCACTTCTCAGTCCTCTCTCCAGTCGGCCTCCTCTCCCACGAAGACCAGGGTTTCTCCCCTGCAGACCCTTCAGGCCACAACAGCTCACAGCCTCTCTGACCCATCACTGCTTCCAGCTGCCAGGAATAGCATATACTAGGGACACCCCCCCATTTCAGACCCCTTCTCACAACCGTATGGATGCCCCTTCTTCACATGCCATCCCTTCCCCTAACGACCCTCCGTCACTCCCCTCCATTCGCCCCAGCTCAGGGCCAATGCCCCTTCCACAGGGAGTCCCCAATCTCCCCCAATGGCTTCGCCTCCTCGCTGTCACCCAGCCAGCCCTCTCTGCTCGGCGCCCCCGCCCCCAAATCCGTCCTTTCTGCATCCGCCGCCCCCTCCGACCCGCTCCCCTCCCCCGATTGGCTCTCGCCCCCCACCCGTCTCCGCCGCAGCCCCCCCTCCCATACCTGGTTCTGGGGGCGCCAGGAGCTGAAGGGTGGGGATCAGAGTCTCGAGACCGCCTGGTCTCCAGCAGGTGACAGATACGAGGCCAGCGGTATCGGCCGCCTCACGCCTCTCGGTCCCCGCCGCGTCCCCGCCCGCCCCGCCGCGGTGCCGCTCCGAGGAAGATGCTCTGAGAGTCAGGGCGGCTGCTCCCGCCGCCGCATCCCTGCAACACCGACTGACGGCAGCATCGGCACTAAGGCCCGCCCCCAAGGCACGCGCATTGGACCACGCAGAGCTGACGGACAAGCGGCGCTGCCAATGCGAAGATGCAGAAGCCGCCAGTCCCGCGGCTCCACTGGCCCACCTCCCTCCCCAGCGCGGACCCTGGCGTCCCAGCCCCAGGGCGTCCGAGCCCCTCCGCGCCTCTCAGGACCATTTTGCCCAGACGTCCAGGCCTCCTAACCCAGCAGGTGCTCTCCCCAGCTTCAGTGTCTTGGGAATCCTGGAGTCCTAGCCCCCTCTCCTCTTGGTTGGGTCTTTGGATCCCACACCCACCCGCCCCTGCCGGCTGGTCCCGAAAACAGTGCCCAGGGCCGGGACAAACCAAACGATTAGACTGAACCCCTACTTGGGGCACCGAGAGAGCAAGACCTGAGCGGGGCCTGGGTCACAGCGCCCTCTGCTGGCTGCGTCTGGGGGCTGGCCTGGGCTACCTGGAGCCAAGGAAGGGACCGCCGGCTGACTAGTGGCTTTTTTTCAGTCACTCGCAGAGACCCAAATCCTCACTGTCCCAGCATCTTCTAGCCAGGAGCCTCCGGAACTGAACAGCTAGGGGGCTAGGTTGAGCTAAGGACTCAGCTGGTGGGAGAGAAAAAAGCTGAGCTAGAGACAGAATAGACCTAAGAGTTTAGGGTTTCCCAGCCCACACTCCTGGGAATCCCAGAGTTTGGAGCTGTCTCCCACCCCTTTGGAAGGCTGGGATGGGAGAGGAGGTTAGCGACTCGGTTGAGGTTACTCACACCCGGTTACTGAGTACGAGGCTGATAGCATCCTCCCTTCAAGCTCCTACCCTTAGCGTGGATTTTAGAATGTGGTCCTGGGGTACAGGTCTTCTGCAGTAAGAATGTCTGCATCATCGTGTTTGTGTCAAAGTGTGAGAAGGGAACACCCCCCTTCACTCATTCCACCGAGAAAAGGTAGATGCAGCGCCTGGTGTGTATACCATTAGCTAAGTTGGACACAGGGCTCCTCAATGAGGCAGCATGCAGGCGTGGGTGTGGCCGTGGGTGTGTGGCAGACCATTTTGCCAGTTCTCTCCAGGCCCCTGATTGCTGTTACAGGGCCTGTGATCTACACAGCTGGTAGCAGTTGGCATTTCCTTAGCCAGAGGCAATATGCAAGAACACACATCCAACCACTATTCCATGCAGATACACATGGGGGCACACAGCCATGCACACCTGTCTTGTGTGTGCCCAGCATTTCCAGAAGACACAAAGGGGCACTTCAGAGATGTCCCCAGAGGAAAAACACACTGAATCAACAACTTGCATACTTGTGCACACAGGAACCTGCACAATCAAGGGCAAACACACACCCAAGGTGCTCACAGGGGACCTGCCCATGGAGTCACACTACCATTGAATGGCACTTTGCAGAGAGCGGTCAGTTCCTGTGTGGCCGCCCTCCAGAGGACCTCTTTTGACAGCCTGTAAGGGGAATAGGAGGGGACCTGCTGCAGAGGGTATTTCCTAGGCGCTGGAAAGGGAGATTCCTGAACCAAATCCCAGAGTTGGGACCTACCCTGACCTTGGAAAAACCCTCAAGTTACCCCCTCACCCTCCCACCTCCCTACCCCACTCCCCACCCCACCCCCCAGCCAAGGCCACTGGAGGAGGAAGAACAGGAACTGCTGAGTCAGGGCCTCTCTGACCCCACAGCCCACTGCCCCACCCATCCTCCCCTGCTCCTCCTCCTGCAGGCTACACACACACACACACACACACACACACACACCAAAATGCAGAGGGACAGACAAGCAGGTGCAGTGACCCAGTGACAATGCTCAAAACCAAGGAATCTGGGTGGGGAGGGAGCAAGGGTGTCTCCTGTCCCTACCTTCAGCTTTTCCCATCAAGGGCAGGAAAGGTCACTGGAGCCTGCTACACCTTGCTGCCCTCTCCTCTAGTGGGGAGGTTCCATATTCAGACCCCCCCCAAGGCATCTGGGCCCCACCACTTCAGAATACAACACTCACATATGGTCTCCCTCCCAGTGTGGACATTGGTGGGAAGCAGGAAGCCAACACCCTTCTAGGCATATACACAGTCCAATAGGGTCACATAGGGAGGGAAACCGTGCAAATATAGGTGCAGGTCCCACACACACAGTCGCAGTCACACACACCAGCTCTGACACATCTGAATGACAGTGGAAAGACAGGTATGTGTCACATCCCGGACAGGCAGAGTTGAGCACCAGGCCATACCACACACTAGGAAGAGGCCAGGAAGGGGCTGGGGTGCTGGGGAGCCGACCAGGCTGCAGGGATGGAGGCAGCGGGAGGCAGGCTGGCAGAGCAGGAGCGAGCTGCTCTTCACAACACAATCGCCGTCTGTTGTTATAGCAACTCAGCCCCCAAATCGTGAAACGGATATTACAGCCTCAAGAGGGGGAAGGGTAGGAGGGGGCTGAGGACAGAAGGAGAGGCAACGTAGGGGACCCAATGAGGGACAGGACTAAAGCTGGCAAGGGCAGGAGAATGAGGTGGCCCAGAATAAGGACTAGGAGACCAGGGGAAGTGGAGTCAAAAGGTAGAGATGGCAGGAAGTGGGGGCTCTGGGACAGTGTATTCTCCAAGGAACCTGAGACCATAGCCAGCTCTGCAGAATGGGGTGACGTGCAGGTAGGGAGTTGGGGTGTTCGTTCTCTGCCCTTGGAACAATTCAAAGGCTACCACAGGGAATGCTGCATTCTGGAGAGGTAATTCCCATCCTTAGCATTGCTCTCTGGTACCTCCTGACAAGAGGGGCAGCCTGATCAGACTCTAGATCCTCTGGGTGACCCCCACAGACCACCCTCCTCTCCCAAAGTAGCCTTAGAAATGGCCTTGGCCTCACTCAGTTAGTGGTGACACCCACCCACCCCCAAGTTCTCCGTGCAGCCAGCTCAGGAGGGAAGAGCAAGCTGGGTTAGGAGAGGCCTCCGGAGCTAGGCAGGATCAATATGCATTTCCTCTGGAAGTCGCTGTCCTTCCGGCAGGCAGCAGCACCAGAGGCTGCATGACCGTGGAGCTCAGCCCCCACCCTGAGGCACACCAGCCCAAGCCTCTGGCTGTCCCCACCCTTCCTAGCTCTCAGCTCTTCCTCCACAGCCCTGGGCAGCCCTCTTCAGCCTGCCGAGGGCGCTCTATCGCTGGAGTCTTCTTCACCCAGGGCCTAAAAGGTTACCTGGAAGGCAGGGGAGTTTGACTTATAGGCTGAAAACTCTAGCTGCACCAGGTCCAGCAATTGTAGGGTGCAAAGACTCACAGGTGTCAAAGCTCAGAGTCCCTAAGATTCAGGACCCCTCCCATTCTAGATCCTTCCCAAGAGTTTTGTGTTTGAAGGTTTTTCTGTTTCTAAGACCACATTGCCCCCAGGTTCCAGGTGTACATGCGATTGTAAGAGGTCCAGCCTACAGAATTCTGGACCCCAACAGTGTAGTACCCTAGAAGGACAGCGTCTGAGGATGGTAGGCTGAGTGTCCAGATTAATTATTCGGGCCTTTTTATTCCATCTGGAAAATACAAATATTCACAAGATCCTGTACAACCTTAGGGACTCCAGCCCTGGCCCTGACCTCAATGCATGCCACCCTCGACCCCCACCCTCAGCCCAGCCTCCTGCCCCAGAACCCCAGGCTCCCTGGTCTGCTCCGAGTCATTTCTCCAAAGCAGGAATGAGTCCTTGATAGTTGCAGCTGGGAAGAGAAAAAAACAGAAATTGTAAGGAAGGCGACCCCCTTGTCAAAGTATGAGCCCACCTGCCCAGGCCAGTGAGATAAGTATCCTTTCCGAGCCCCTCCCCATAAGCTACCCCAGCCCTCTGGGGGGAGACTCTGGGGGCAGCCTGCAAAGGGAGGGGGGACCCACCATCTTATAAGTGGATGTCAAACACTCCGTCCTCCACTGCCTGCACCTCCTCTTCTCGGATCTCTGTGGAGACAGGAGAGTTGTCTGCAAACCCACCCCCTGGTCCCTGTGACCTCAGCAGCCATCTCTGACCAGAGGAGGCTCTCATCCCTTCCCCATCCTGGAAGCAGACCCATCCTCCAAAAATCAATCCTCGGAACGACCAAACGACCCCATTTTTTAGGCTTATTCTACGTTTCTTTCTGCCGCAGCTCTTCCCACAGCCACATCGCTGTGCAGTTAGCTTAAACGTCGATTTTGTGAGTGTTGCACAGTTTAGAGTCCAGCGCATCTGAAGGCCGACTGCAAACAGTTTTCTCTGTGCTATTTTTGAGGACTTACGGCAACCCAAATGATTGTGGTCAAATTGGCCTAGACCTCGGTTTAGCTCATTGTTCAGACTCTTCTCGGGGAAAATGATCATTTGCCAAATCGTGGTTCAGCAACAGAGACCCCAGGAGTACCACCCAGAGGTTATGGGAGAAGGGACTTTTATAGTGGCAAGCAAAAAAGAGAAATGCAAATAGTTCATAGAACTCCAATCCCCCTAACAAACATGCAACTGGAATCTTGACGCTTCTTTAAAATTGGGGTGCACACCTTTAATCTCAGTACTTGGAAAGCAGAGCTGGCCACAGCTATATAGTAAGACTGTCTCAAAAATAAATGAATTAAATTAAATTAGGGCCTCTCTCCATGTCACCCTCAGAAAGTTGGGAGCTCTTCGGGCACTCTCTGGCCCTCTGACCTATCCAACCCTTCTTTATCATCCCACCAAAATAAAAGAATCATGAAGTCTGAACCATCCAGCATCCAGGATAAGTTTATATGTCATTGGCTCCCTGTGGGCCCCCTTACCTGGTGGCCGGGAGCTGCGCCTGCCTGGGCGAGGCAGGGAGAAGCTGAAGGCCCGATGGTGGGTATGTGTGGGTGAGGGAGAAGGCGCAGAGCCCTCCAGACTCACACTCTGGGCCCTGCGGCGACACTCCACTGACAGGCGGTCTTTGCACTGTTTGTGGCA